CTAGTGTAGATATACAAAGTAAAAACGAAATTTTAAAATTCCTTCAGAGCCAATGAAATTATCACTTTTCACATGTAAGAAAATGAACGGAATACTTTCAATAAAAAAACACGCTTTAATGAACGTTAGCCAATCCAGAAGAACTTATCCTTTTAGAAAAATCAGGTGAAATTTAAAACTAAAGTAATATAAACTATGAATTCACACTCATTTAGTTTTTTCACACAACCGCGAAACAAGGTTCTAGTTTCGACCTATACTTTGTGAGAGCTAATATTGTTTTTCGCGCTAGATGTAAGAAAGGTACGCCAAAAGTGAGAAGGAACTTTTCCTTGCAAAAAACGGCAGCACTTAAAAGTATTTTGCTTGCATTGCTAAAAGGGCAAGATCCAACTAAAACACAAAAAAAAACGATTTATAAAATTCCGTGTAAAAATTGTGATTGTGTGATCGTTGTGATCGAGACGTGAAGAATGACGAAGACAGTTCGGATATTGTACAACATGCATATCGTCAATTTCATTCGATCGACTTGCATAATGTAGAGATATTATCTAAATATCAATAAATGATCTTAGTACGTACTTTAAAATACGTGGTGTTTGTGACAGCAGTTGATATTCTTTCAGAACAAACTATATACAAACGATTCTATGTAGTGAGGAATATTGACGCATTTAAGGAGGGAGGCGCACTACCCCTTGTTTTTTACATCACTTTGTTGCCCATGTCGATTTACATATATGGTCAGACGTTTGAACCTCCCAGACACATTCTTCCCATTTTTTTTAACTTTTAGTTTTTTTAAAAAAGTTCAGTGTTCATGAAAGAAGCATGTTCTAATGATAAGACTGGCACCGACCGCTCAACGAGATCGAACTGCCTATATGCTGAAATTTTTGCGAACTTTGAATGAAGTTCGGTTAAACTATCAGAGTAATGCTAATTAATATTATTCAGCGCTAAAAACTAATACCTCAAAAACTTTCGTTTCAATTTTTTTCTTGAAACTATAACTATAGATCATTGGCTACCAAACTACGCTAAAACGACATTTTCACGACTATTTTTGACTGAGGTGTAAGCTTTTTAAAAATAGACCCAGCAATTAAGTTTTTTGCTAAAATTTTATCTTAATTAATTTATAACTCGGTGAATACTTATCGGCTCTCAAAAAAGACTTCAGGATATATGCAGTCAAATGTTCTCTACAATCTGAGAAGGTTAAACAGTACCCTTTTGGAGGATCCGCTCTCCCCTAAACAAGAATAAAGGGAGTAAGTATGTATGTACATCTCAAAAGTAAAAGAGATCCAAAGATAATGCTTCAGTGACAGATTAGTTTTTTTGTATATTAGCGAATGGAAAGTGTAGTATGCCAAAGAAAAAAAGTAAGAATAAATATGGGCCAATAATTCTGAGCGTCATTGTATCAATTCTGTGAACATTCCGCAACCGCAAAATTGTTCCCTTCAGAATCTATGCACTTCGGCTTTCCCGCCTCTGATGACCGATTGATTCAGTATAGACTAATGCTAAGCTCATCGTGAAAATTTGTAAAATATTTTTTCTTGCAAGTCAGCGTCCAAATCAGCTCCTTTGAGCATAGACGCACGAGGAATACGTGCGTGGTAAAGACGGGTTTATTTCTGATCATGATTGAAAATTCAAGGTTAAACCATTTAGTCAGGCTTCCGTACCCTCGACGTATACCTGTTTTGAATGTGTTGAGGTCAAACACCTGTCTGTGATATACTGGTAAAGAAATCATTTTCGCTACGGAAAATACCAAATAAAGTGAAGTAAAGAAGCGAAAAGGTGTTGAAAGCAAAAGAAAATGAATGACCATATGAGGGAGAGAAAGTAAAAGAGACCTGGTAGATAATACAGATAAGTCCACTTAAACTTTGAAGAAGTCCAATCTGGATCTTAAAAAATTCAAATTTTATTTCTTCCTTAAGGACAAAGGCTCCTCTGTTCGGTTTCAATTCACTATTGACTTCAATAACTATAGTAATATTCTCATTCAGAATAACTTTACAATGAGCCAAGCCATGTGCGAAGCCTTTTTGAAACTTTGCCTTTTGTGCTTAGTGTTGACGAAAGTAAGAGTGTATCACAACCTCGACACCAAGAAAAATTCTTGTCTCAATGGAGCATCCCCCTAAAGTCTGACTGATCGCGACAGCCTTGATTACAGACAAACTCGAGTTTAAAGATCAAAATACGAAACACACTTCTTCTGCAAGCAGAGTAACACCAAATTGCAGGAGACACTTTAGAGTAATCAGTAGATGCTGTTTGTGCGGAAAGAGTAGATAAAATATATTATATTTATATTGATTGACTGATGACACATATACAGTCGGAGTGTGCTCGAAAATTTGTAGTTATTGAGGTAATTGAATGATTTTAACTGAAACAGATGTATTATGTCAACATCAAAGACTTAGGTTATGATTTCTATTCTCTTTCAAGTTAATATTTCCTGTCGAGTCATGTTAATGTCTATCGCCACGGGAAAAGATGACAAACATATTCAATTGATCATATGAACAGGTTGCGTTGAGTAAATTTTTTTGCTATTTGGTAATGAGATGAGTCGATTAAGTAAGAGACTAAATACGTGGCACATGTGCAATAAACAAGATCAACTTAATTCTTCGCTAAACAAGAGAAAGAGAGAGAAAAAGAAATTGATTTAATTTTTTCTTTTTCGTATGAGAAGAAGAGAAAAATAAAGTTGATTCTTATCATTTCTAAAATCGTGTTAAAATTGAAAGTGAAATGGTAAGTGAATATATACACTTAATTTATAGTTTGATGATGTATAAAAAATTCTTATATTTAGGTTCAAGATATACTGCAAAGTAATAATGATGAATATTCAAATGTACAAAAAATGGAAGAAGCAACCATAAAATTATTCGCAAGAATTCAAAGTGTATCTCAAGCAATGAAAAAAGTGATGAAGAAAACTGTCGAAAGTATGTAGAAAGAGTAAACTACAGAGTTAACTTTCACTATTCAAGTCAGACTTCTTAATTTCTGAGATATCTGCTGAATTATCTAGCAAAATATTATCTAGTATAGAATACAATCAATATATTTTTAAAATTGTGTTTAGAAACGCCAAAATTCTGTGGAATATCGAAGAATTCTTCATTGACGACTGATTATTCGGATATAGAAACATTTTCTCCATCAATAGATGTAAGTTTTTAATGTTTTATTAATATAAATTTAAACTATTTTCATGAACTATATGAAATTGAACTACTGAAAATAAATATATCTTATTAATAATTTTTTTAAGCTAACTGAAAATTCAATTAGTGAAATATCAAACTGTGATTCTGGTATTTCGTCAGTGTTACATCATTCACCATTATTTATAAGAAGGTGTGATGATCAATTATTATTTCCCTATTCAAATGAATCAAAAATCAATTATATTCAAAATGAACTTTTAACAAGTAGACCACAAAATGATGATGATATTCAATCGATACATCAACACATTTATTCTTTATTACCTCTGGCTGAAAGTAGTAGATATAATAATGATGATAAATCGGATATTCTATTATTTCGTCAAGAAGATGATATGTATACATTATATGAACAACATGATGATAAACAATTATTTTCTAGTACACGAAATGATGAATGTGGTCCTCTAACATCGACAACCATTGATATATGGCATTCTGTTACTCGTACATATTCAGCAACATTTAAACAAGATTTATCAGTTAAAAAATATGAACAAATTCAAATAATTAAAACAACTCATCCACATTGGTTTTGGGTGAAAAATGAGAGAAATGAAGAGGGATATATTCCGACAGATTGTCTTGTGTAACTTATTTATTTTTGTGCTATTATGATTCTAGTATTTCGAAAATAAACAATTTTTCTCTTTTCAATTGAGATTTGTCGAGTCTTTTCACCTTAAAAAGCGAATTGTGAAATGTTGGTGGATAAATTGGTTAAAGTTTGAGTGAATTACCAGTGAGAAATTAACAGAAGCCTGTAAGGTTCGTTACTTCAGAAAACAGTTTATTTAAACAAAGAGATGCTTTCTCTATAAAATAAGATCATTTCTAAATCGTTAAACTCCCATCGCACGGATTATTTTCCAATAGTTTTCTCGTATTACCGTTTACTCTGTATTGGATAATTGTCGATAACGATACCGAGCGTTCGGTACCAACCACTGGAACCACTACCTAAAGTACCGAAGTTCTTTTCATTATCTAAATCTATTTTTGAACTCATGAGCAGGTTTTTCCTCCTTAAATCGCGGAGATTCATGTTCCTTAATGTTTTTCATAATTATCAAACTTTTCGGTACTTTCCGTGGTACCGGAAATTATGCTCTTATGCTATACGAATGTAGAATGGTACCTAATACCTAAGTTGAATTTTATAGAATAACATAACTACTTACTTACTTTTCACATCCTCAAATAATTTCCCATAAATAACTGTTAGAGTTAATTACTTTGAACTCTTAGTACTTAATCTAAGCAGTTTTTCAGGTCTTTTTATTCAGTTCCGGTTATTATCTTGTTGCCCTTTAATGGCATTGTTTTCCATTTTCCACGTTTATGCTAGGTATACTTAGTACTGTGAAAATATTCAAATTATATAATATTAGACGCCGTCCTGAGCTTTATATTGCTTAATAACGAGATTTCTCTAATTCCTAGAAAATATTAATCCATAAAACCTCTCATTAAACTTAAACAATAGCACTTAATCTCCATAGATATCAAATATTTCTGTTACAAAGCCCTTCAAGCTACAAGCTATTGCTGTGACAAATTCTTACCAAACTATTTGGATACCCAGTAGACCAGTATAAATACTGGTACTGGTGCATACCTAACCGGTACTGAAACACCGATGATTCTCTACTCTGTATAAACACCGTTAAAACGTTGAATTTAGAATTAAAAAGATCATTATGAATTGAGTAGAAATAGATGACTTTTAAACAGTTCGGCTTTCTCACCATAAAACGTCACTGATATTCGTCAAAGATTACGGTTTGTTAACCTAAATTGTTACTGAAATAGCTGAAACTAATTTGCGCTGTCTATCAAAACTGTGACTATTGTCTATTCACTGTTTTTTTTTCAAAGAAATCATTAACCTATTGACTATAAAAGTGCCATCGTGCATCATAGAACTGTCATCAACATTGTCATCGTCAGTATGACGAGGTTGAAAAAAGACTTTTTCTTTGGTCCAAATGTTTTGTTTTACGTTTTGTCTGCTAGAAACCCAAGCAAAAATTACCTATGGAAAAAATCTAGATACATTTCGTCTGTAATCGAGTGATAAAGGACTAATTGTCATCTAGATTACTAGCTGAAAAAGGGACTTTTAACCAGATACGTCTGCATGTGCAACTAGTAATAGTTAAATTAATCGATTATGGGAGCGATAAATCGATAGATGCAACTGAGAAGAAATCAAGCAATTACTAGATTTCTACGGTCGTTACCAAATAATTGCAATTTATGCTATATTAAAAAACAAAAAAGGAAGAGATTAATTACATTCTTTCTGAGATCTAAACAATTTTCTCAAAAACTTTAAAAAGGTTTTAAAAGATCTTCATCTTCAATTTTTTTTTCTATTTTCAAATCTTTCTTTTCTTCATTTGTAAGCAAGATGAGTGTAAGTTGACAGAGAAACAATACTGTAACAGCTGATGTACTCATCTTATCTCACATATTAATTTTATATGTGTAAATCATTTCTTTCACTACTTTTCGTTTTTTCCCATTTTTAGTTCATGGTCATGTTCGACAGAAAGTTTGAATTGAATGTTTACTTTTTCTGTTACAACTCACACTTACGTTTGACAGTCCGATCTCATGAGTGATATCCCGTTCAGAATATACCCTATATCCTGAAGAAAGCGGATGAAAAACTGAGTCGGAATCCAAGTTGCTCTAGTCCTGATTCAGAAGTCTACCGTTCACGATTTTTTAAATTCTAGTGGGGATATACAAAACAGTTTGATCGGGATATATTTTTATATCCCGTTCGAGCTATGAGACCGGATTGTCTGAGCTTTTTTACATGTATCATAGTCTATTACCAAAATAAAGATAAATAGATGGATTCTGAGATCTAAGCAAGGATTTTCTTTTGTATAAAAATAATTATTTTTCTTTTCTTTTTTTCATTTATTACGGTTGAAGATCCAACAGTAGGAGAAAACACGCGTTTTCCCTCTTTCTCTCTCTCTCTCTCTCTCTCTCTCTCTCTCTCTCTCTCCAGTTAAATTATAGACATAATGTAAGAGGTGTGGTATATATATTTTGACATAAATTTTAGATCATATATAGACATACATATAGATGTATAATAAGGAATAAAACAAATAAAAATTAAAAAAATATAACAGGTATGATATACGACGCTTCAAATTTCATTGATGTGTGTTTCAATTAATATATATATATATAATCATAAAATCACATGTAATAAGTAAAGAAAAAGTAAAGAAAAGTAGAAAAAACCAAAAAAAAAGATCGACGCAAGCGCTTTTGGTTTGGAAATTTCGACGACATTTGATATGGATGTGGATGCCATAATATTATAGACTTTCGACGCAACTGATGATAAATATTATTATTATTTATTATTATTATTATTTATTTTATTTTTTTTTATATTTTTTGTGTGACTTCTCAAATACACGATCTATTTTATGAGTCAATATGTATTTTCTCATGTAATTATTCTTCTTTTTAGAAATGTTGTTGCTACAAAACATAAACTAATTAAAAGTACAACTTGTTGAATTCCTAAATTATTTGCTGAGCTAACGCCATATGTACGAGTCCATTGATCATATGCATATTCTAAACAAAGAAAATACATAAGATGAGAATCAATTAATAATCATACAAGGTCAATATGTTAATACTCACTGAAGTAAGCAACAAATGGAATAAATGTAGCCCAAAGTCCGATTAAACCCAAAGCTGATAAACAGCATAGACATGTTACTGCACCACCCAAACCACCTAAAATTCCTCCTAGTGCACCAGCGCCGCCGGCACCACCGGCACTACCACCACGTCCTGGTGGTGGGGGTAAAGGAGCTCTTGGATAAGCTGTAGGTGCTCTACAAAAAAAAAAAGCCCAATGTATAATAAATTAAATCGTACATAAAATAATTAAATGATATCTTACCCATACACAGGTCTTGGTCCATAATAAGGTGGACGCATTATTTATCTAAAATAAAAAATTAATTTTTAAAAGTAAATCTTTAACACTCCGTTTAATTCGTTTTTGTATTGCTGTAGTTGTTGTTGTTTTTATTGTTTATCTAGTTTTATTACTACGAACCTTTTTCTTTTTCTTTTTTACGAGTGTATTCAAGAACAACAAAAAAAGAAAGTGGACAACGCTGATCGATAAAAAGTAATAGTCTATGTACGTGTGTGTGTGTGTGTGTGTGTGTGTGTTTAGCTTTCTACCATTTTCTGTATTATTTTTAGTAGGAATAAAACAGTCGTCCACTTTTTCTCTTCAATTTTTCTTCTAAGAGAAGCTTTCTTACTATTATGTGAGGATATTGTTTAAGGAGAAACATATTGATGTGGTTAGTACAACGTCATGCTCGAGAGAATGCAGTTCGTAATTACTGATAATATTTAATACCAACTAGCTGATAGACACTCCGCCTCATCATACAGTAGAATAAAAATAAAAAAAATAAAAAGAAAGAAGAAAATGTAAAAAAGGAGAATCATCATCTTGATAGGACTCCAATCATGACTTTAATCGATATTAATAAAAAAGAAATTATATAATTGAAGAGTATGTTCTTTTTGTTAGCCACCTACATTGTACAGAAATCACTCATGCAAAGACAAAAGCAATTTTATTCACATTTTTTTTTTTTGGAAGGGGGGAGAGGGGGGGGTTGTTATGAGCAACAAGGAACAGAAAGATGTCCTTGAAAATGCTCACGTTCGAATGCTTGCCTATACGTACGAACATATCTTTTTTTTTTTTTTTGAATAAAATATAGTTTCACACCAAGTAGAGCTCAGACACCTTCTTATCGCGAGCATAATTTATACAATTGACATATCTTAAAAGATTCGACACATTAATAATACAGAAACAAAAGATTTGAATAGTCTTAGTGAAAATTTAATAATTTATATTAAAAATGTCTCAATACTATTTTGTTTTTTTTGTTTTTTTTTATTATTATGAGCTTGACACATAATTAGTGTAAATGAATATGGACGAATGAGACAGAGTAGTTATGAGAACCCCTTGAAAATTTTGAGAAACTGCTATATAATTGTAACTACATATTTAATCTCAAGTGAAAAAGTGACAGTGATAAATGAGATAAATATTTCGTTATTTAAAAAGCTTAATATTTATCAAGATCAGTGAGTATATTTGGAAGATGATAAACTAACTGATCAATTATTAAATAAATGAGTCTAAACACTTGACTTGATAGTAGAACATCATTAAAATAAATCTGTTTTTTTTTTTAAAAGATAGAACTTTAATTTCATGAAATTTTATTATTGATATGAGATAAACTCAATTGTATTTTATCTTTCTACTAATGGGATTAAAATATGATTGAATAAGGTGAAAATCTGTTTTTATGTCAAATCGATGATTCATTTTAACCAATTTCAATGCACTTTTCGGGCTAATCTAATAATTTTGATTCCATTAGTAAAGTGAGAAAAAGGCAATTGAGTTTGTATCATTATATTAAAACTTGATCGAAATTATTACTTCTTAATAAAGAGAAATAGTGCGTTTTATTAGCATTCATTTGAAATTGATGCATTTCTAGACATGTCAGACATTACTGAAATATCCAAAAGAGTTTCCTTAAACAAATCATTTCTTTTACGTTTTCTCTATTATATCGTACGTATTATCTTCAAAAAAAAAAATGTCTTATTTTGTAGAGGAATGTTTGGTCTATAAAATGTCGAAATCTTAGAAAAGTTTTGAAGCTATTTGTAACAGAAATATGAATATTTTAAAATGTATTAACTCGTGAAAAAAGAGCTCTGGTCGAACAATTATTTTTCCATGGATTTACTACATCTTAAAATAATTATATGCTTGTTCAAAATACATTGAAATTTCTTTTGACAACTGAAGTTTGTAGAGCAAACATCTTTCTACAAAGGGAGAGATTCCATAACTCTGATCGATTCTTCATAATCAGATTATAGCAGTTTTCATATATGCTCTTATAACAGTTTTTAACTCACGCATATCTATTTCAGACTGATACCGCACAAAATCTCATGTTCATTTTTGACGTCTGACATTTTGTTTTACAAAATGATAGACGATGTGTGTACTTTTTTTAAAATTTATTTTGCCATACGATGCAGGTGTCCAGTCAAAAAAAAAATATCAAGAGGAGAAGTATAATGGAGTTCTAAAAAAAGGAGTAATCTCGATAACTCTTTTTTAAGAATTACTCCGGAGTACTCGAAGTGAAAACCTACACTTTTTTCGAAGTGCTCTGCAGTGCCCCGGCTACACTTTATAAAAAGGAGTGCTCCGATGCGCTCTTTTTTTGAGGAATATACTGGACCACTCCAGAAAAAGAGTACTCTAGATTGCTCTTAGTGGCTTTTTTCAAAAGGAATGCTCCGTAAACGTAGTACACCTTCATACTCCTACTTCTGACTTTCTCTTTGACTGGGTGAGCGATGGACAAGATCCCGCAATTCTTCACGGGACGGACCCCGCCAGGAACATTTTTTGAAAACGTGACGAGGCCCAGGGCGATGAACTTCACGACACGTATCCCTCGAAGGACATTTTTTCTTGTGGGCAAAAGACGTTATTTTTATTTTGATCTATTTTCATAATAACGGTGATGAAACAATGAATAGCTTATGTTAGACGAGATTTTCTGCATTCTGAACTCAGGGGGATCGATGAGGAAGTATCAGAGGAAAATTTTATCAATAATTGACGGTGGATGAGAAGGCGACGGAGTCGAAAGTGTATAGAGCGATCGTCGGAAAGTACACTTATCGAAACTTGGCGAAGAACGGGACGATGACGAGAAAGGAAGTTTGCGAGGTAATCCCCGCGAACTGAAATTTATTTTTCACACAAAGGTAGAATATCACAAAAAAGATTTGTGGCATTCGGAAATATCCCATGATAATCTAATCGCACAGAAACGAAAGATAGTCCATTGTCTACCTCTGAGCACACTCGATATTCAATGTAAAAATGTTAAAGTTTCAAAAATAGAAGGATTCATTGTCTAAAAAGCTAACAATATATATATATATATGATGAAAATTTCAAGGTCATTTACAGAATTCGTCTTTTATTAATCTATTTTTCTATAGTTAATAAACTTTATCTATTTAAAAAGTATATATATATATATATATATATATATCATGATTACAATTCATTTATTTCTCACAGTGCCTTTTAAATTGTTGAAAAAATTAAAATATATATATATATTATATAGATATATATATATATATAGAAATAAAGAAAAAGAAGAAAAAATCTTTCCAGTGTCCAGAATGTTCAACAAAATAAAAACACAAAAAAGTTGATGACATTTTGTACCTATTCAAATATGTATTTTTAGAATATAATGACTATAATTGTTGAAATTCATATATTATAAATTAATAGAAATAGTTGATATTTTATTTGTACCTGTTTTATTATTATCAAATATAGAACCTCTCTTTTTCTTTTCTGTTGTTCTTTCTTTTTTTTTTTTTGTTGTTGTTGTTGTTTTTCTTTTTGGCTTTTTTTCTGTTTCTGGTATTACATTTTTTGTCAATATGTTCAACCTATTATAGTCAAATAACGAGATATCGTTGTGTAATAAAAGAAGAAAAAATAAAAAAATAAATAAATTCGCCGTTGTGTTCCGAAAGAATAAAGAAAAATAGGAAAAAAGTTTAATTTTAACAAAAAAAAAAAAAAAACAAACAACGAAAGAAAAGTCACCGTACGATAATTTGTACGTCAATTATTTATTTTTTATTTTTTTTATGAACTTGTTCCACGATTTTTCTTTATAATAATTAGTGAAATTACAAGTGTACACAATAAGAAGACAATATCAACTTGTAATAGACTACTGGCACCAGTGACACCCCTTCGAAATTCTTTTTGAATTTTATCTAAAAAAAAACGAAAATATGTACATTATAAAGAGACAAATAATAGAGATGATCGTTGACTAATGTTAGATGAATAAAATTACATACTCATGTAAGCTGCTGCAGCAATCATTGTGGCAAATAGACCTATTAAGGCTAATGATGATAAACATCCTAAGCATAACAATGGTGCAGCCAGACCACCGATAACACCGGCTATAGCACCTGTACCAGCAGCTCCAGCTCCAGCTCCAGCAGCTCCTCCAGGACCAACACCATACATTGGTGGACGACCATACATTGGTCGTGGATAAAATGTGCCAGGTCTTCGTCTAGAAAAACAATAAAAAAAAAAGATAAAATATTCATATTGTCTGATAATTTTTTAATAGTTTAACAAAAACGAAAAAGAAATAGAATATTTGTCTTTTTAAAGTTAAAATGATTTTTGTAATAAATAAGAATAATTGATCTATTCATAAATTTTATTTAATAAAATTCTATTTTTTTATACTTACATCGCCGAATAACGTGGACGATAGCCTATGCCAGTGTAAGGACGAGGTGGTGGAAGTGACATTATACTATTTTAGAGATCAAACTAGAAGACAAAATTAATAAAATATTATCAACATATTTATTTTTTTGTTAAATGTATTCATTTTATTAAATGTAGTCAACAGGCCTAATTACCTGCCTTGAGAGAAAATATGGACCGACAACTCTCTTATTGTTGATGGTCACTTTATCAAAAGAGAAAAAAAAAAAGTGTTTTGATTAAAAAAACAAATAAATTAAAGAAAAAAAAAAGGAAAAGAAGAAAAAACGAGAGAAAAGAAGAAAAAAAACTGTTGATAAACTTGTCTGTTTCTTAATGATAAAAAAAAAATCAGTTAGGAAGCGTCTCGTGTTTTTTTTTTAAACAAAATTAAGGATACAGAGCAGGTGGACACATGCGTATGTAACACTAATAGCTTCAATTGTCAGCAAATTTCAATGAGAGAAAATTATATTCTCTAAATAGAGAATCTTCCTAATTTTCTTTTTTTTGTTTTGTTTTGTTTTGTTTATTATTCGACTTATGCAATTATGGAGTAAAAAAAAAAAAAATTGGATAGAAGACCTTAAAAAAAGTAGTATCACGAAGCATGACTATATCTCTTTTTTTCTTTTCTAATAGAGACATTGGAGGAGGTTCGCTTTCTTCTTCTATTTGATATCATTTTAGTCAAACATATATCTGTACAAACAGTTTAAAAATTATATAGGTATTCAATGTTAATCAACCATGAGAAAGAATAATGAAGATACTGATAGATGAGACGAAAAAAAAGAAAAATTATCTATGAAAAAAAGAAGAAGAAGAAGATGAGAGAAAGTACATACAATTTTTTTATTATATTATTTTTACGCGTGGATGGACTGCAATGCGCGTAGGACACCTGTTTTGTTTTATTGAGAAACATACGTTTATCAGGTGAAAAAAATGTACTTGAAATCAGAAAAAAACATTGATTTAGTTAACGTTTAATCGTGACAACAAATGATAAACAATCATAATTTCACACTCTAAAATATTTTAAGAAATTTTTTAATAAAAAAAGAAGCAAGGTGATTTTACCAGTTATTCACATTATACAGTCTATATAGAACAGAAAATGAAAAGAATGAAAATAGAAGAGAATTTTTGTTACACATATAAATTCAAAATGAAAAGAATGTTTTATTTAGCATAAACAACCCATTCAATATTTCACATCAGATAAAATATATCTTATATTATATCGATGCATAGCTGTTTGCAAAAAACGTTACACGCTCATAATTAGAGATGAAAATGTGTTACTATTATCAGTGTTTCGGCAACACTCTCATATTTTTATTAATAATAAATTATCGAACACTACTTACCGTTTTCACTAATGTATGCATAGTCGTTTTTTAAACAGTAATTTATATTTTTAATCATGGTAATAGAGCAAGTGAATATCCATAAAAAATAGGAAGAAAAAAGAAAATGTTGTTGTTTACAACAACTTCATTTTACAGTTTGTCTTTTGAGAAACATTGAATATTTTATGGCTTCTCATTTCATGTTGTAATGATTCTGTAATAGTGTAACAGAAACTATTAAAAACAATTTTCATATTAGGAATAGTTCGATCGTAAGGCGCCCGTAATTCAAAGTTTAAACATTATTTTCTTTTTGATTTTAACAGACATATTCTGATAGAGGAAATCGAGCTGAATCCGAATATCACATTTATTTTGCTTTACGACCTTTTCCTCTTGACGAAAATTGCGAAATACTGAGAAGTATCCGAAAATCGAAAAAACCTATACTTCAGATGTTTTGCTTGTTGTTTTTTCTAGTTAAATTTTGGAGCTTTGGAACAGAGTGTTTCTGAATCAGCGTGTCAAATTGCATATGATAACGTATCTTTGAACTTCCCCACATCGCTCTTAGCCTTTGCAAAAAATTCATTTCTAAGAGAACTCAAAAACGAGACCCTCCACTCGAAAAAGCATCAAGTCTCTTGCCTTAAGAGATGAAGCCTTGTTTAACACAGTATTCGAACCACCTTGCAGCGGAGAATAAAGTTATAACTGCAGATTTCCGAATTTTTGCTGATGGCTCTTGAAGATTCAGTTTTGTGGAAAACCAGTTTTCAGAAACTCTAAAATATATCCAAAACCTTTCTTAATGAGGCATGATTGTAGTCCGTAAATTTCTGATTAAAATGAGACATCTACCAGCTCTAAATGATCTTTCTGTCCAAAGTTATAGGATTTACAAGCAGAGCCCTAAATGTTGCTTGGCAGCTCATAGCTACAGAAATAAGGAAAAAATTAATTTATGATTCAGAAAGCTCTTATTCAAAACTCCAAAATTTAACTAGAAAAAACAACAAGCAAAACATCTGAAGTATAGGTTTTTGCGATTTTCGGATACTTCTCAGTATTTCGCAATTTTCATCGAGAGGGAAAGGTTGTAAAGCAAAATAAATGTGATATTCGGATTCAGCTCGATTTCCTCTATCAGAATATGTCTGTTAAAATCAAAAAGAAAATAGTGCTTAAACTTTGAATTACGGGCGCCTTATTCTCGTCACTCTTTGCTATTGGTTAAAGATGTGCAGGTTACCGTTTTCGTACCCGTACCCGACTTATGTCTAAAAATTTTCTCCTTTTCGTTTTCAAGCTAAAAACTTTTGTTTTTCAGTTGAAGATGTCAAGTTATCATTACGTTCTCAAGTCACTCTTTTATAAAACTCGATGCATTTTAGTTAAAACCTTGTATTTTTTCACTAAAATTTTGTGGTTTTACACTAAAACCTTCCGGTTTTCGGGTAACTTAAACCAGAAACGGAAATCGTATCCGTAAATACTCTACCCGTACCCAACATTCGGGTCGGGTTGCACATCTCTACTATTAACTAGAGCATCAAACTTTCAAAATGAAAGTTTGATGAACAAAAAATAATTTTTACGGTTACGGCTCATTCTTACTTATAAAAGGTGAACCTTCGTTTCCTATATTCATCAGCTTCAAGACTTCGGGCCCGCCCTTTATTTACGACTGTTTTTTGCTTTAATATTTAGTTTTATTTATGTCAAAGACGAACAAATGACAAATACGAAGTGTTGTAAAAAGAAATATATCTATTCTCTCATATTTTAGGTATAAAATCATCAAATTTTAACCTGATAGTATTTTTTATAAGAAGAGCTTACAATAACTGTACATTTATGGACAACATGATATTCGAGGATCATAGATATATTGTTTTACACACTATGTCAGTACAAAAATAAGAAACTTTTAAATTACAAACTACAGCAAAACAGAAGAAAAACACATAATATAAGTTTTTTTACACTCTTTCTCAAATGATTTCTATCTAACACTAATATCTTATATCACAAATGTATAATTTGTTAGATATTAAAATTATCATATGAATGTATTGTATCCATCTGAAAAAATAATCGTTTCAATTTAAATTTATTATGAATGAACAAATAAATGATAAAATAATAATTATATATTCTACTAGTGTTTGACGTTCTCTACTAGCCTCTGCGTTTATAATCTGGATCTGAAATTATTTGCTAATAAATATTTTGTCTATTGTTAAAATATCTCACCTATCACATCTCCAAGAATACATTTCATACTCGTTCAATCAAGTCTTGTATGATGATGTTCCTGAAGACATGATACTCAGTAGCAGCAGCATTAAGATAAGAAAATTACCCATAAAAGTTGTATGATTCAACTAAGAGGTAATGCAAAAGTGTTTTTTTTTTTGACAAATGTCCAACTCTATAATCTCAATCCGTAGCGATGTAAAGTTTTAACCTATTTTTCATTTAAAAGAGAACATCAGACTGTATAAGAAGAAATGCGAATGTTTGGAAATGAACGTTTAAGAAAGACTGAGGAAATTTTTAAATTTAATCATATTAAAAATGTCTGACATGATTTGTGTAGATCGTTGTCAGCACTTTTCAATTATAGAAAAAATATTTAACGTCGGATACATGTGGTGAGATTTCAAGGCTCATGCAATCTCTGGAAATGTGATAGGTGAGATATTTTAACAATAGACAAAATATTTATTAGCAAATAATTTC